AAAAAAAAAAAAATTCAAATATTTTTAACATTCTTATTTTGTTGAACAAAAATTTGAACTATTTTAGCATTTAAATCTTAATTTTTATCATTTTTAATGACTTCCTGGTGATTATCAATTTTAACAGGAACTTTAAAATAAAAATCAGTATTAAAGAAGTGAGTTTAAAATTTAAATATAAAAACAATATTTATAAACTTCATGAACAAGGAAATTTCTTATACGTAGGGAAATATGCAAACATTCTTTTTTAGCTCAAAGAAGAAATATTTGGAATTTTTTCGCTCAGTTCTTACAGCAAAGTAAGTTAGACTGATTAAAAATGACTATTTCCCCCAAAATAATCAAGCAAAATTGATGGAAAGGAGAATTTACCTCGGACTGAGAAGCTATAAGAAGAAAAATATAAAACAAATAATAAAACGCGCTGTCATACAATCGTGGGAGAGATGACATCACGTTCAGAATGACGTTTTAGCTGACGTACACTAGCAACAGCATTAAATTGCATTGTCAATGAAAATCTCATGACAAGGTAGATTTCAGCTGAGCATACGAAACGCTGCAAACGGAAACCTTATAATTATGTAGATTTAGGATGATTTTCATCTTAGAACTAGCGTTATTCAAGGTTTTTTTTCCACGTGAAAACCCTAAGACAACCTCGGTTTAAGGTTGTTTTCCAAGGTTTTGGATTAGGGTAATGTGCGTAGAATAGAGCAGATTGTCGCAGACCTCGTTTTAAGGTTAGAGGGTTTACATATAAACCGTATAAAAACCCTTTTTAGGTTTACATAAAAAGGTTTTTGTTGGGTGAAAAAAACCTTATATTGCTATCTGGGATAGAAACAACTAAGAAACACTTGCGCATTCGTGTTCGACTTTGTACCGTAAGGAAATCAGGTCGTTCAGAAAAAATTGCAGAGCGATCAAATACTCAGCCTTTGCCTCGGGCAATCGATCTACCTTCGCCAACTTACCGGCACAAACCGTGGTGGGTGAAGATACTGTCCACCAAACAGTCTGGTTGGCACCACTGATTACAGCATTGCAATCACCTTTTTAATGAGCATTCGCACCTCATGCGAAAAAATAAAATATGCCAATTATTATTTATGAAGAGAACTTTGCTGAGCTAGTTTCTCGCGAGGAAATAATGTATTATTCTCGCTCTCATTTCCGAATTCGTACATGCAACTTCTTCGCATGCACTGTGAATGGGCACAATTTTTGCTAAATGTAGTTCATGCACTGACGATAGCCCTCAAGGAAAATAAGAACTTAATTGGTGAAAAATATTTTTCCCTGAAAAAACTCACAATCAGGTTATCGATTTTTCTCTGCGATGAACAGAAGTGCGTAAACTGCATTCAATTAGAGTAACCCATTTCTCTGAAATGATTTGTGCAGGTGAAACAGTACAGTAGATTAGTAGAAGGATGATATTAAAATTTCTTATTTTCGGAAAGATATCACTGCATATAATTTAAGGAACTCTGAACCAGAGTGTGAGTGTGCAGCATGGATCGTAAAATCGAGAAACCATCTCTGAAAAGAAACCTGCATATGTTTTGTTTAGTAAAAACGACACTTCAGTAAAAATCATGAAACATATCTTTAAGAAGAATGTCCCTTAAATATCAATATCAAAAATTGCGCAGCTCAGGAGTAAGAGACTAAACTTGTTACTAATTTGAGGTCACCATCGCTGGTTTCATTTTTGAGCTGTCTGCTGAAATAAATATCTATTTCAAATTAATCAAATTAAAATACATTTAACCTTTAAGTATCTCCTGAAAGTTTGAAATTATAATAGCAAACATGACTACTGGTCACGTAGGAGATCTGAGTGAAGAGCAGTTAAATGCATTAGATAGTGTAAGTTCTCTCTTTATTTTTCTTATGTTTAGTTTTATTAATGGAAACATTATTTTTTAACCTAAGTTGGTCTCGATTGGTTAATTTACAATTTAGTTATTCATACAAGAGGTGAATTTTTTTCGTTTACGATTAAATTCTTTGCTAATTTAAAGCTGTATTAGGTTGTGTAACAGTGGCCGGTGTTTATCGGATTTTAGTACGAACAATACATTTGCAATAATAACAAAGATTTTATTAATCTAATATACTCATGTTTTTTGGTGAAACTTTATGTTTTATAAAAACCTGTATATTACTTACTAAATAAGCTTAAATTCTTTTCATTTATCATTAGGTTACTATAGCTTAGTTTAACTTCAGAATTTTACGTGAACTATTCTATTTTGGGGGGAAAGATGTAAAAAAAATCTATTTTATTACTACCCATTGTCACAACATACCCTATATAATTACTATAACTAGAATTATAACAATAAGAAAAATGATTACAAATTTATTATTGAATGGATCACAAGTTGCTGATGTAGAAGTTTTTACCTGTGAGAATTGAAATAAGATAGTTCAATTATACATACCCCTGCAATTTACAAATTAACCCATTCAGTCATATGTTTGATCTCAGGAATGACAGATCGATAAGAATTCCGCATCTGGCTGGCACCGACCATAGTGCTGATGAAAAATATCCTCTGTGGTAGATGAGTCATGGGTTAGAGTCCTCTTGCCGTGAGGTTGACAGTGGAAGGTTTTCATGGTTTCTTTCCATGTAATGCAAATGCTGGTTTGTTCCGTCAAAGAGTCTTCTATGAAGGCAAATGTCTCCTAATACTTGATCCTGGAATTCCCTTGTCTTCTGGATTGGGATTAAAATTACAAGGTTACAAAGTTGAACTTTGGAAGCTTAGACACAAAATGGGTTCAACGACGGTTATAAAATAAAATTAATATAACCTACTGGAGGCAATATAGTTTGAATTTCTTATGAAAATGTACTATTCACAAAATGCGTAAACTAATTTTTCAGCATTTTTGTTTTTAGTAGGAAATTCCTCCTTCTTAAAGCTTCAATTCTTTTGAAGTTTTACTAGTATTGAAACTAATATTTTTATACTTGATTTGTAATAGTTACAGTTTCAGCTGATTATGGTTTTTGTTGCACGATGGTTTGCCCTGATTATGGTTTTTGTTTTTATATTTCATTGATAATTCACACTTAAGATTTTATTACTTGTCTTAAACAAAAGAATGTCTTAATTATTATAAACGCACTGCAAAAAGATATTTATAAATTATTAGCATAGAAAAGTTTGGTCAATTATATTGATGGTCTAGGTCATACTTTGTTATGATCAAAACGAGAACAGTGCGTCCTAGCTAGTTAAAGGGGGGAAAAAATACTTTTTTTACACTCTTAAATTGAAAAAAATAAGGTATAAAATAAATTAAAAAGATAAAAAAGCATTAAAAATTTCATTAAAAAAGAAAAAAAATTACATTAAAAGAGTGAAATTTTTCTTCTATAAATGAGATTTTTCTTGGCCTAAAAAGTGTTTATAAAGCAAACGTTTATTAAAAATAATGCTGTTATTTAAGAATAAGTAATTATTTATGTGCAGTAAGAAATATTGAAGTTAATTTTTCTTCCAAGAAAGTTGAAAGCTTGCTGTAATTTAATTTTATGTTATATTATGCAAAACTTTAAATGTTTTTTCGCAAATGTCAAAATATTATTTATAGTACTATGTTCTTACGTTTAAAACAACTTGATATTGTTCTTATTGCATTAAAGAATTATTCTTTTATTTTTAATTTTAAAAATTTTTTCTGCTGCCTTCTCCAAATAACACTTATTTACTCCTACTCTCTGTAGGCATGTCTTGGGTTTAAAATAGTTATTATCAATCACTTAAATTTTCTTTTCTGTTCGGTTGTTAATAATTCTATAATTTTCAAGAAGTTTTTAATTTTATTTTGCCTAACATCAGTTTAAAGAAAAGTGTTTCTGATCTGAAACAATTAGAATTGATTGTAATTTATTTTTGTAGGGATAAAACACAGTGATTTGATCAAGGCATTTAATGAATAAGATTACTGCAATCAGTTTTATGATAGTGATTCCAATCAATAAGTCAATTCAGTGAATTATATTATTGCTTTAAGTTATTGAATCAATACAAAACACTATTGTAGTGGTATTTGTATTAAATAATTCTTGTTGTGAAAATACTACGAAAATAAGTCTCCATTTTATTGTTAAATTAATTAAAATAAATGTATCAAGTTCTTTATTTTTATTTCATAGTATTTAAACTGAATTCGTAAAAAATAATTGAATATTCATGTTTTTAGTTCCGTTCTTCTGTAGAAGACATTTTGCGTCCAGAGCATGATGATTACTTTTGTGCCAGGTGGCTACGTGGTAAAGATACCATNTTTAAAAATAATAATTATTACATATTCATTAACATTTATAATATTGTTAAATTTGAACATAACATCCTTGAATGAACATGACAGAACTTGCTCTTCAGTTTCTGTCAAAATTACCCGATGTCCTATAAAATATATTTTTATGTGTTAAATCGTTTGATTAATTCATTAGAAGAAAAATAATAATTTACCAGCACGTTTCATGTGTTTCTTGTGAATTCTATTAGAGATAGTATTTCTGTGGATTTTGTACTTCCGAGAAACTTCTGTAATCGACATACCACCAGCAACTGCTTGCAAACATTGTTGCAGCTTTTCTTTTTACAACGTCTGACAATTTTTTTTGTCGAAAAAAAAAACGAATGAAACTTTGCACAAAATAGCCCCACAGTGCATTTTTTTTCATTTTCCGTTTATTTGTTATTAATTTTAAAATTTTTTTAACGCTAACATGATATAATTGCTTATTAATGTATAAATAAAAAATTTTGCACTTACGACAATTGTTTTATCAACGTCTTTGCATTTCACAGCTAAAGTTTCCACGCACACTTTTCGACATCCGACGTCCTTGGAAAATTGTTGACATTGGATGAACGAAACACACTCTGAGATTGTTTTAAAATTTGAAAAAATGTTTGTAGTAATAGAAGAGACTTCTATCTTCAAATTACACACATTTTTAACGTGAAATAAACATAATACTGAATAGCAGCACTTGAAAAATGCCGCAGTCGAATTTGCACAAAGTAGCCCCCGCTGCACAAAGTATGACGGTAATTAAAATAAAATTTAAAAAATTAGTATGAAAAGTTAAAGTTTTAACTTTATTTCCATTTATTTATTTTAACTTCCAAATGCCTTTATGCCTATCCAGTGTTATCAAAATTTCTTATATGGTTGAGTAAATTACATTCCTCAATATTTTGTTGAGTGAAATTCAAAAAAGAGGTTAATTTTTAAAAGCAGAAATTTATCTGTATCAGATACATTATGTTTAATTAGAATATATCCCATTAATTCTCGAAAAAAAAGGAGGATACTGTTGAATATAGTCAGGGGCGTGCATAGGATTTTAGCGACCTTGGCCAAAACATAAGGGCCTTTTGTCCTGGTTAAAAAAATCATGCTTTTTTTATTATTTTTTTAACGAAGTATATATTAAAATTTTATTATTTTTTTAAATTTCAATCACATTTTTAAAAAAATTGTTTTCTTGTTTAATGATCGAGACTCTGATGAAATGTTTAAATAATGTAACTAAGATTCTTAATACCACTAATGATAAAAGGGTTATATGTAAAATTAATATAAAAATTAAGGGGGTAATATTATGTAAGAGGGTAATGTTATATTAAAGGGTAATATTATTTAGTTAATACTAACTAATTACTGAATAAATATAGTAAGTTATTACTTTTTTTTATCAAACTAAAGAGATTAATGAATCACAAACACAGAGAACTAACTTGTCAAAAAGTAAATTAATTTAGATCAAAAAAACATTTTCAATAATAAATTATTCCTAGTAGAGCAAGTCTTTATTCTTTATTTTCAAGAAGTAAATATTTAATAAGTTTTAAAATTATTTGTATTGAAATAAATGTGTAAAAATTTAAATGGGTATAATTGAAATATATTTATTGATAATAAAACAGCAAATTATTTACACACTACAATGAGCACATTAAAATATGAATACGACATGAAATAAATAATGAAAAATTATAATTTGAAAGTTAAATTATCTACATTTAAACTCTTAAAAAAGTGATAATATTTTGTTTCTTAATTTATTAACTTATTTCTTGATTCTATGAATGAAACAATCGTTATAAATGAGATTTGATGTCAATTATCAGAGCTTTAAGTATTAATATATTGGTAAATGGAGTATATAAATAATTTTTTTTAGATAAATCTATGATTTAAAAAAAATCAGGTGATTTCAAATAAATGATTTTTTTAAATTAAATATTTTTAACCCTGTTTTTTATTTTTCTTGATATAATTTATGTTGTAGTTATTGCCCTCCTCATACACTCACAAATCGGCAATAGTTGAAATTTTTAATGCAATTAATTTCTATGACATAAAAGTTGTTAAAAAATTGCAGTCCTGATGTGGAGGAACATTAGCTAAAATGAAATTAGACACATTTGGAAATATAAAGTATAATAACTCGTATGAATTATTATACATCCAAAGAATAGTAAAAATGCATTCAAGAATTAGCAAATGTAAAGAAAAACTTGTAATAAAGCTATATCAGTCCAACTCGCTCACCCCTAAGTACGGCCGTGTGTATAGTTGAATCTGAACTATGTAGAGCGTAATAGATACCCTTAAAAATCAGAAATCGGGTCCAAAAAACTCTAAAAAGTAGTGATCATGGAAAATATTTTTCAAAGGTTGTTTTAATAGTATGTCTCTTATTTAAATTTATCAAATATTTTATAAAATTTTAAAAAAAATTCATGTTATTTTATTATTTTTATTTTTTTAAATAAGTTTTAAAGAATAATTTTTTCTTGGTAATAAAATATTTTATACTATGTTTTTCTAGGGATTACTGTTTATTTCTAGGGAGAATTCTGCAGTATTTAAATGGAAAATAAATGGCCCTAACCTAAATCCAAAAGGATTATTTCTGTTCCCTTTAAAAGTTTTTAGAAATAAAATTTCTATGAAATATGTATCTAGGCATGTTGTGGCAAACTCTGGTATATAGCTATCTCTTTCTATATTGCTAAACTGTAATAATATTCCTCACAGAAAATTATTGTTTTCCATTATTTTAGAATTTATTAAATAACTATTATGTTATATATAACTATGTACATAATTATAATAAATTATATCAGAAACACTAATTTTTTAATAGTTTAATGAATGTTTTTAATAAATGTATCGACTTTATGCTTATTAAAATTTTTTAAATGTTTTCATTTTAGCTAGAAAATTTAATGCAACAGATGCTGTCCAAATGTTAAGAACTGTAAGTTACTCGTTATTTTTGAAGTCTTCTTCCCTATTAAATGAAAATAATTTACAGTTAACTCTTTAAATATATGTGAATCTGTAACAATGTTTTAAATAATGTTGATTTTTTTAAGTAATGTAATGTTTGTTTTTAAGCCTATGTTTTCCTACATTTTTAAAAAAAATCCTTATGGGTAAAATCATAATTTTTGATCCTAGTGGATCATCTGCAATTTTACTAATATTTTTTGCACTTTGATTTTCGGTGTAAAAACTTTTGTATCATTGTTGTTAAAAAAAAGCATTTAATATATGCAACTTTAATATTTTTCAAAAATAAACTTTTACTATTAAACTTTTTACTTGTTTGTTATTGGAAGGTTCTATAAGAAAGCTAAAGCCCCGCATAGGACTGATCGTTAAGACTTGGTTCCCAGCAGATCACCGGAGTCAAGCATCACTGGCTGCGGTCAGTGTGCGGGTGGGTGACCACTTGGATCAGTGTGTGTAAGGACCGAGGGTGTGCGGTATTGATCCTCGTTAAACTGTTCTACCGTAAAGTGCTCGACTTCGCGTGCAGTTCGTCGGGCTACCGAAGGGGGGGTGCCATCCCCTCTGCAGAAGATCAAAATTGTGATGGCATGATCTTCAGATCATCCTCAGGGATGTTTCCCAGACCGTCGCCAATAGCCCATTGTGTAGCTCTAGTCCGACGTAAATGAACAACAACAACAACAATAAGAAAGCTAAATATTCAGTATCGAGCTAAAGGAATTTTTTTTTTCTAAATCTTTCGTTTTTTCAACTAAACCTTTTTCTTTAAATTTATGTCAAATGTATCACTATTTAAAATGTATACAATAAATTTAATATTTAGTTGAGTGTAAAATATAAATTTATGAACTTGACTTCACTGAGCAGATAGCTTTCATTTTGTTATACTAGTTATTATTATTATTAAAGTTAATATGTTTATAAACTATAGTTAATGTGTTTAGCCTTATTTAAAATTAGCAATTTTTATTTAATTAAATTTTTTATCGTTTCTGAATTAGTGACATAGTAATAGTAATTAGTAACACTTGAATAATTTCATAATTTTTGAGGAAACTTTTATTAATGACTGTTTAATGATATTTTTTTAAAGAATCATCATGAATTTCTAACTTTTTATAATTTTATGAATCTTGTATTTAGAAAATGCAAATTAAGGAATGGAATAAAAAATTCCTTTCAAAATATTAGTGTTAAAAACTTTTGTTGAAAATACAGTTCTATTCCATTTATAATGAAAATAACTCAATTGTTATCATTTAAAAAAAATTTTTTTTTCCTTAATGGTTACAAAGTTTCTTACTGAAATCTAAAATATAAATTAAAGAACATACTTTAAATGAGCATTACGAGATTTTTTTCTTCATACTTTCATTTCTAATTATTAGACATGATTAAGTTGTAGTTCAAGAAACCATGTTCCAAACAGTGCTTTAAAATATTTTTTTAAACAAAAATTTTATTTTAAGAAGAAAAAAATTATTGAGAATTTCATTGAATTTTGTCCAATGATTAAGTACATCAGATTACTATTATTATTTTTATTTTGTAAATTAACTCGCAATAGTTGTTTCCTTAAGAATATTATGAAGCTCATTTTAGCTCTGATGTTTCAGTAAAATTAATATATTTCTCATGGGGATATTTTGTTTTATTTTGTAGAGCTTACAGTGGCGTAAACAGATAGGTGCAGAGAATTTAATTGATGATTATGAACCGCATGAGGTATGTTGAGCAATTGTTTTTGTCTGTTGATTTGTTTAATTGTGTAAACCTTGTCTAATTTCATTTTTTTAGGTTCTGAAAAAATATTTCCCTGGGGGATTAGTGGGACATGATAAAGAAGGCTGCCCTGTTTGGATAATACCATTTGGGCATATGGATATAAAAGGTATATCTTAATTCAAAATGTCAAGTTCTTTTGAAATTATTATATGCAGAAAATTTTTTTTCTCCTATCTTTTTAAAATTAATAATGCCAGAATAATATATGTTATATTATGATGCCATATGTAGATTAAAATTCTTATGATGCTATGATAAATATTGAAAAAAAAATTTCAATAGGTATGTTCTATTCTGTGAAAAAGTCTGAGTTTATTAAATATGTGGTTAAACTCATGGAAATTAGTGAGCAAGACATGAGAGACCAAAGTGAGGAAGTAAGTTTCTATAAATTTAGGTTTTACTTAAATATTTATTAGCTTAATTTTGTTCATTTAAATCCTTTACTCTTTTTTTATGCAAGCTTCTTATGTGTTTTTTTTTTTATCCTCTTCATTAGTTTAGATATATTTATCTTCTTTTTAAGTAATAAAGAATAATTTTATTTTTCTCTCTGTATTTGTACCAATTTTTTTTTTGTCTGTATGTCAATATATTTTTTTTACTACAAAATTCTGGAGTTTGTGTATATTGGCCCTAAATTCTATATTAAAATTTCGAAAATCAAGATTATTTTTTGAATGAAAAAAAAATCAAAATCATCCACTATTCTATGGTATCAATGACTGAATTTTGAATTTTTAAATTAATATCTATCTACTTTTCTTCATTAAAATGCGATTCAAACATAGCAAAAACGATGATTCATCAAAACATGTCAAACATATATTTTTTGTGATTAATTTATTTATTGTACTAATTTTATAAGCATGACAAGCTTCTAATCAATTTTTCGTAGTTTTAATTTTTTGCTCTAAGAATCTCATGTTTACAAATTTCTTTATAATATAGAAATAAATGTAATCGACTACATTACATATTTAACATTCCCTTTTTTTTATTACATTACATATTTAATAGGTAAATTCTTAATATCACACGGAATTTTAGTTTAAATTGCTTTATTATTTTTTTAAAATTCTGTTTGCACTTGTTTTTAATGTAATAAATTTATATATTTTTTGTTTAGTAGTACTTAATGTTTTTAGAAATCGTTCAGATAATGAATAGTGATTACTTTTATGTACTGTAATAACATGTATATATGTATTATTATTAATTATTTAAATTTTTTAAAACATAATGATTTATAATTTTTCCTTTTCATCTCAGTTAGGGAAGAAAATAGAAATGCACAGCATCGTATTTGACATGGATTGTTTCACAATGAAACAAGTTGCATGGAAGCCAGGTGAGTTTTATTTTCTCTAATGCAAAACAGTTTCCTAAAACAGTGGTCAACCATTGGTTTTTCTTTACTTTATATTTATGTAACAATTTTAACTCTGATTTAAAACAATTAGCATATCGGTGAGCTTTTTGATCTGAACACGGCTCAAAAAGTATGTTAGGAAAATTGATACAGCTTTGAAATGCATATCTAAGAAAATAGACTCTGCTCAAAATGTGTGTTTAATAAAGTGGACAGAGTTTAAAATGCATATTCCGAGAAAGTGGACAGAGCAAAAAATGTGCCTTTTCAATGTTTGTCCCAAATTAAATAACTAAGAGAAGAATTTCATGCTTGCTTTTCTTTACTTATTGAAACACTGAGCACAATCATTATGGGGCTAAGTCCTGTATTTCGTCGTCCAGGTGGCTGGGTATGTTACAGGTGCAACATTTTATAAGAATTCTTCATAATCAGAACTCTAAACAATAAAGTGAGTTTTCAAATTTTAAATTCCTACAACGTAAATTTACTTCCACTATTATAAAATTATTGAATCTGTGGCAAACTTTGTAAAAACAACAGTTGACTTTAAAAACCCTTTTTTCCCCCTCTCTTTTTTTTTTTTTTTAAGAAAGAATAATTTAGGAAAATATACTTAGTGATTCATGCAAATGGACAATGTCATATTCTGAATTTATATGGATTCATTAAATGAACAAACTTTTATTATTTATTTAATTATTCTTTTGTGCTCTTTTCATTGTTCTTTAAGAAAGAACAATGATGATAAAAGAAGTTTGAAACACTGTATCAAATGCCATTTTCTTAAACATGCATTTCAAGCAAAAAAAGAATTGAAAAAGCCAATCTTCTTATAGGATGCATAGCTTCTAGTATGACTTTCCGAACCTTTATCCCATCAAGCGTTTGCTTAGGCGTTTTCTGAACTTTAGCTACAGACTTTTTTGCTTAAAAAACCAATTTTGCTCATTTTAATCAATGGATAAAATCTAATTTATACTCTTCTTACATTAATTTTTAATCAACTTTTTTGTTTTCAGCTGTGGATATGGTCACCCAACTTGTTAAAGTATTTGAAGATAATTATCCTGAACGACTGAAAAAGGCCTACGTTATAAATGGTTTGTTATTATTTTGTAAAACTATATTTTATCTAAGAAATAGTTTTGAAATCAAATCATACTTATTTTTTTTAAAAATTCAACTCTAGCACCTGCCTTCTTTCCTATGGCCTATGCACTGATTAAACCATTCTTGAGTGAGGAGACTGCTAAGAAGATTCATGTTTATGTTAAAGGTATGGAATAATTTAAAACAGACTTTGCTCTTTTGAATGAAATGATAATTGTTATATTTTCTTGAGTGTTCAAAATACTGTATGCCTCAGTGTATAAGCTGACCCCCTATTTTTAAATATGTGATATAAAATGTTTGGTATATCCGGTGTATAAGTAGGTTGTTGAAAAAAACAAAAAAACAAATATGGACATTTTTAAAATTAAAAACTTACAAAAAATTTATTCTATAAAATTGTCTCAAGTAAAAATTATTTCGCATAAAAAATGCTTACAAAAACAAGAAACTTCCGTACATTATGTGTCAAATTATACTAGACTTTTTGCAAAATGTGGATTTAAATGTTATTGTAAAATCTATCAAAAAGTATGAAATTTTGAATTCTTCGGATGGGGGTGTAGACTATTTTTTGTGGGACAGCAGATGGATGTGGGATGATGTAGTATCCATTGCAGAGTGGGATCTATATGACAACACTGCTGACATTATTGAACCCGGCTCAGATCTTGTTCTGGAATTTTTAAATTTGCAGCTTTATGGTTTGTTTCAATAAGATGGACTCTTGCTGAATACCTTTATGATTTTGATATTGCAGACAACATATGTTTACTGACCAACACCCTTCAAGACATGCAGACAAACATTTTAAACAAAGAGGCAAAGAAAATGGGGCTTATTATCAACCAAAATTAAACTGAAATTTTGAAAAATTAATCCTAAACGATTAAGTGACTTGTTCTTAGAAAACAATAAACTATAGGAGTTAAGCAGTTTTAAGTATCTTGGAAGTGTAATTTTACAACAAAGGAGGAACTGATGAAGCTGCGCTTAATAGATTACGCAAAGTCCGAAGCAATTATGCTATTCTTAATAAATTCTAGAGAAACAAAAACGCAACAAATTCAACAAAAATTAGTATTTTCAATACTAATGTTGAATCTGTCTTACTATATGAATCTGAGACATGGCACTGCAATAAAAATAATATGAAAAACCATCAAGTATTTAATAACAACTGTTTCAAAAGAATCTTCTGTATCTAGTGGCTCTATAAAATTTGTGATGCAGAAATTGATCTGGAAATTTTAAAAAAAAAGTTAATGGAAATGGTCATGTTCAACGTAAACCTGAGAAATTTAAAGTAAATCTAGTTTTTATTTGAAACCCTCAAGGCAATTGAAAAAGAGGAATATTTGGCGCAGGATGATTGTAAATGAATTGAAAACAATAAGAAAGGCATAAAGAGAGGCAAAATATCTGGCACAAATAGAGTAAGAGGGAAAACTATGATAGAATCCTTTTGCTCCAATTCGGAGTGAAAAAGATTATGTATGTTTTAAAAGTTTGAATAGGGCTGGGATAGCCAGGTTGATAGGGCACTGAGCCCATGTCCAAGAGGTCATGGGTTTGATCCCTGCTTGCCAAAGACTCTTCGTGTAGTAAATAGTGACTGATGCACGTTAAATCTATAAAGTCACTAAGTCCTCCATGTTCCCATAACAAATCATACCTCTGGGGGTACTTTTTCAGGAGTTTCCTTCTTTTCTGGATTGATTCAAAATTACAAGGCTACACAGTTGAACATTAGTATTCATAAACCCGAAATTGGATCAACTGTTCAAAGACGAATATGAAATTAGAAAAAAATATTTGAATAAATTATCTTAACTTTTCTTATTCTTAATTTTTTTATTCTTAACTTTTTCTTCCTAAATTAATTCTTAACTTTCTCTTTTAAGGTATTGTTTCGAAAAAAACTTTATATATAAAGAAAATTTGATAACTAATATCTATTTTTATGATTAACATTATAAACATAATGTAATAAACATTTTTGAAATCCTGCATTTTCTTTCATCTTTGAGCTATAATATATTGCTCATTTGCAACATTCAATGAATGTGAAAGTAATACTTTTTTACTTCATTGTGGAAGCTTGAAACAGGTTTAATGAATTACGATTGATAAGCAAATAATAACCTTCCTTTCACTATAAATAAGATGAATATAAAATCTTCCTAAACATTAACCACAAACTCAGTTCAGCTGAATTTACTCTCTTGAGTTCTGAACGAGTTTTTTTCTACTAGTAAAAAAAATGTAACCCTGCAAGGAAATTTTTACAAAACAGTTATTTTTGTTCAATTGCATGAGTTTTATTATGTTTTTTGAAGATAGTATAAGTAGATTAGTGCATGTTTTACTTGAATATCCTTGTATGTATATTGCCATAGGAATTTTATTAAGTTTATGATTTTATTGTTGCTGCTTTTATTTTAATTAATTGCAAATTTTATTTTTGTAGCTTTTTAGCTTTTTGTTTGATTCACTTTTTCTGGAAGAAAAAAAAATCCACATAGTTAACTGTCTTTTTATTACATGTTCAAATATTAAAAAGGTAAGAATATCATTTTTAGAAATCTCTCGTGTTTAAAATTTAATCATATAAAGAAGATTATATTAAATATTTAAGTTATCAACCTTACTTAACATTTAAAAAATAATTTATTTAATAACTTTTAAATAAAAATTACGGTGCTATTTTTTTTGTATATTTTTTATTTGATTATTGATCTTTTATATGATTAATATTACATGATTGGTATTGTATTAATTATTGATCATATATATTTTTACTTTTTGTGTTAATTAAAAACTCTTTCATTTAGTAATCTGAAATAAGTTTATACCATAGTATTAGCCTGTGTTTATAACACAATAATTTTTTTTTAAATAAATTAAGTTCATAAATAAAATTTGCTTTTTCAGCACATTAAATTTCAACTCAATAGGTGAATTTTTCCAGAATGCAGATCGGTCTACATAGTATTTTTTATTATTTAATAATTATCAAATTTTTTTTATTCTATTGTTCATTGTTTTCTTTACCCATTTATGATTATGCCTTCATATTTTAATGTTTCTAAATCTTACAGTTTTTGGACAGCAGAACAATTTATATAACTTTTAGGTGAACTCTTAGAACAGTGGTGATGGCTCCCTTGATTTATTAATATAGTGAGAGACTGTGCTTAAAACATTTATTGTTATAGTTCCTTTGTTTGCAATGGAAATCCGTTCTTCACGTTTAGAAAATATAAAATTTTCATTTTTATTAATAGGTGAAGTAAATCAGTTTTCACTTATCATAACGCTTATAACTTAATTTAAACTTACATTTAAGTACACCCTTAATTTGCACTTACATTTGCACAAATCACATATGCACATAAGTATGTAATACGAACATAAGTATGCACATAGTCAAGTTGTATAATTTAAGAATTCAAATACATGTAGTAATCGAAGTCACCCTTTTATTTTCTAAGACAATAAAAAGATCAATAGTGTTCTTGAGCTATAAATTTGAAATTTAAAAAAAATGTGTTAAAATTTTTTTATTGCTATTATTTAAAATTTATATTATTTACTTAAATGCCATTTAAATTTACATTTTTCTTGTTGTTTAAGAGATTCATAAGAGCACTTGCTTAATATCTATTCAGAGATTTAAAACTTAATTTTCAGAATGTTTTGTTGTCAAGACAATTTCAATTGTTTATTTATTTTTTAAAGTTTTCTAATTAAGAAAGGAAAAAATCTAAATTATTAAACGTTTAAAGGAATTCAACTGTAGTCATTGGCAGCAAAAAATTAATCATTTACTGAAATTAAAGTAAAGAAAATGTAAAAAGTGCAAATTATTGTATTATATTTAGAAACTTGGAAAAGTGCTGTATTTGAAGATATTGATCCCAGTGAGCTGCCTACACAGTGGGGAGGAACTAAATCTGATCCTGAAGATAAACCTCTTGTAAGTTAAAATGATGTTTGCTTTATTGGAATTTAAAAGAAAAGAAAAATTTTAAAAATAAGTTCTTAGTTACCATAAACTGTAATTGCTTGTTTTCAGACTGTATGGAGACTAATTTCCTTTTTTAAATTTCAAATATTCCATTATACCTTTCATTTAGAAGTGTATGAAAATTTTCAACTGAAATCAAAAAATTTTAACAATATTTTTTTGTGTATAATTTTTATCTACTTTATATGTGTAAATTTTACAGTACATATCAACTGAAATTAAAAATTTTTGACAATATGTTTTGTGTATCATTTTTATCTTTATATCTGCAAATTTTGCAGTGCATATCAACTGAAATAACAAATTTTTAGCAATATTTTTTGCTTATAATTTTTATCTTCTTTTATATGTGCAAATTTTACCGTGATTATCAACTGAAATAATAAATTTTTAACAATATGTTTTGTGTATAATTTTTATGTACTCCATATGTGCAAATTTTACCGTGCATATGTTATATTAAATCTAATTTTTACAATCTGCAGATTCAGTTTAACTCTCAAATCTTGAGAATCCTTAACTCATTGAGAATCCTTAAATCTTGAGAATCCTTAACTCATTGGAATAATTTGCCTCAAAGCTAAGCAATTATTTAAATTACATTGAAATTTTATTTTAGAAAATGTTAATATACTAAAATATTTTTGACAAAATCAGTTTTTGTTATTTGTTTTTCTGGGCATTAGTTGATTTCTGATAATTGGGATGTTACATTATCATGCACTACTTATGTTTAATACTATTATTCTTGTAAAAAAATACTGGAAGAAAATGAAAGTGTTTAATGAATTATTTTCGGAAATGAGGAATTTTTAGTTTCTTTTACGTTAATTTCAGAAATTGTTCTTTTTACCGGACAGTTGATTTATTTTTCTTGCAACTAATTTAGTGAAGGAAAGATAAATTTTAGCACTTAAGCATCAATACTTATTTCTCTAAAAAATCCTGTCAGAAAAATTAGTGATAGGACTTATTTTCCTGAAAAATGTTATAGATATTTACTCTAAATTTTTATTTTCTGTGGAGCAACATTTTTTTTCTAGTAGAAGTTTTTAACAAGGTAGAAAGGAAAAAAATCATTATTTTTATTGAAATTTCTTAATTGAATTATTAAAAATATATCAAAAATGAAAAACCTTTAAATTTATTATATTTCCAAGTAATTTTTAGGAAGTATAAGTTATGCATATATGATTTCATTTATATAACTATGAAATTAATAATTAATACTTTTATTTGCATGAAAGCTAAAACTGATCCTCTGTCTTTCTGCGTCAATTAATTTAACTTATATTACATAAATTACACATAGAGATATAAATTAATAAGTTGTAAGGTTAAAAATGATTTACCAAGTTTATAGCATTCATAAATTTTAAGCACTTTTAAATTCTACAATATAAAGACAAAGAAAAACTAACTAAAAACAAAAGCATTCTGACAGTAAATATAATTATAATACATGTAGGAAAGAGACATATTTTTATCAGCTATCTTTCTATTTTTGTAGTAGAAAGATTAGAAAATTTTATGTTTGTTAGTTATATCTGAAAATGTATTAGTTTGTTTTAAAAAAAACTTTATAATTATTTTATTACTTTCTGAAATATTTTACTTTGTTCTTATGACTTGAAATTTCTAAAAACATGTCAAGTTATCATAAATATTATTTTCTTTTACTTTCAGATCTGCTTCATTTTTTTCCAATAAAAAAATATAAATCAATTGATTTGAATCACTAATATCTAAACACCAACAAAATTTTTTTTTCATATTTAACTTATAAATTTAATTCATTTTGTTTTTAAATCAGTTCCATGTTGCTGTACAGCTTCTATTTCTAAACATCATACAATCTATCTATTCCTTTTTTATTTTAACTATTTACTTCTGATTTATCTTAATTATTTTTAATAAATTCTTAGCTTCAAATTCTTTAAGGTATGTAATTATCATGATATGAAGTCAAACTCCATTAAATGGAAATAAAATGTAAACAAATTATTTGTTTTAAGCAAAAATATATTTCCTTACTTCTATATATCTTTATTATATGTACTTTCTCGGAATTATTGTTTTAAATTTATATTTACTTCATTTCTGAATTTCTTATTATATTAAGAAAAACATATTTTAAAAAATGTATTCTCATTCATTTAAATTTCTAGGTAAATATGGGTGGCCAAGTTCCAGCTTCATATTATACAGCACCTAGCCGCCGATTATCAACTGATACAGATTTAACGAAAATTACAGTGGATAAGAAGTCAGTTTATCCTGTTGAATTGACTGTAACGGATGTCGGATCAACATTGCAGTGGGAATTTCAAACGGAAAATTATGATATTGGCTTTAGCGTGTGGTTTCGACCTGAAGGTGGAATTGCTGAGGAATTGATTCCTTTACAGCGTGTCAATTGTCATTTAGTGCCAGAAGATGGAATGATAGTGTGTGACAAACCAGGAAAATGTAAGTACCTAGGTTATTTTTGACCAGATGAAATTTTAAAACCAACATTTCTCATGTTTGAAGTTTGTAGACTGATTTCTCACTTAGGTTAAGTTTTAATGAAGAGACATCCTTATACTAATAGTTCCAAGATTTTTTTTAGATTTGTGATCATTTACACATCCTAAAATAAAAGAATGTTTATATATATATATATATACACTACCGGTCAAAAGTTTGCGAAAATTTTGAAATCTACAAAAAAAAGGTCTAAATTCAAATGTTCATAGAACAGCGAGAAATCATTCAAATTGCATGAAAATTTGATATGTTCTAAAGTGAACCCTCTACAGTTAGTTACATATGATCAAACTGCAATACTTTGTTTTTTGCGAACTGAATCCAGCTTTTCATCATGGGTTGTTTCTATGGTGAAAAAAGTTGTTAAGTTTGAACACTTGCCAAACTTGCAACAAAAAAAATTTGTGCTTTCTGTTAATAGAAAATAGTTATTTGAACCGTCCTATGCAAGCCCTCAAAATTTCAGATTGATTTGATTTTTTTTGACGAAGTCATAGAATTTTGAAAAACATGTGTACTTTTCTCGATTTTTGAGCATTCCACATATGCGGTCTTTTGGTCTATACATCTTCTACCAAAGAACTTTTTAATTTTAATGCTTTCTATATTTTCAA